GCGGGGTCCCGGGGAGGCGGCGGGGCGTGGGCCCTTCCTCCCGGCGTGGCCTGCGCTGCCCGCAAGACGCTCATTCGCTACGCGCCCCTCGCTCGCTCGTGCACCTGCTGCGCGCCCGGCACGCGGTGGCCCGGGGGCCACGGCGGGCGGAGCGACAGGGTCCGCATACTCGGCGCGGACGTGCCGCAAATAGGGACAGACATCCAGCACATAATGACATAGCTGACCCTAGAGTCCCGGACCGTGCCAGGACGAAACGTCCACCGTGCTGCAAGCATAAGAGACGATTGGGAGATCCGAGCCTCCTTGGGGCTCAGGGGGGCACCCCGGGTGGCAGAGGAAGAGGGGTGAGGGGCAAAGGAGCGGGAATCTGAGGAGAGAGTACTGGGGGTGAAGTGGCTGGTGCTCCAAGCTCAAGGTGAGAGGGCAAGAAGCCAACGGTCCAGTCCATCCAAGGGCGACAGACGACCAGGTGACCGGATTGCACGGGGCGACGGCGCCGTGGTGGGGGAGGAGCTGACAGGAGTTCTGCCGCACGGAGGACATTCAGCTTGGGGCTTCGGGAAGGCTTCTTGAGGAAGTAAGCTAAGACCCAGAGGATGCAAAAGACGTGGGAGGGGAATCTAAGCGGTGAGAAGGGCTTATACAGAGAGACAGGAACCCAAGAGCTCAGTCTAGAAATGGGGAGGGTCTCCTCAGAGTGGGGACAGATGGTTGGAGAGAGGCATTAAGCTGCAGAGATAAGGACGACCTCACAAACCAAGGAAAGGAGGTTGCTCAGAGGCTGTAACAGGGTTTTAAGCAGAGAGTGACCTCACCAGGAAAGGCTCCCGTGTCTGCTCTGTGGGATTGGGACTGGGGCTAGGGAGGCGGGAAGACCAGCCTGCGGCTGCTGCAAGAATCCAGGCAAGAGAGGACACGTCCAGGAGCACGGCACTGGCAATGAGAAGTGGCAAATGAGAGCGGTATTGGGTGGAAATCCCCTGGATTTTATGACCAGTAGAATGTGCACGAGAAAGAAAGAGAAATTAGATGTCACCTAAATTTCTGGTTTGGGCAGCTTGGTGGATGATGGTGGTGGAAGTCCCTGAGATAGAGACCCAAGGGGACTCTTTGCAAGTTGGGGTAGGGAGAGGCTGGGGAGGGGGCATAAGTTCCAGTTTGAAGGCTTTGAGCTTGGCATGTGTGTCCAAGAGCAGGGCCCCCCTACTACTTCTCCCATAGCCTCACTTGCTTTCTCTTTCCACCATGAGCCTGCCCTAAATCTAACCACCCGTGAACACACCCATATAAGGGTCAAACTTGTTGTGCAGCCTTAAAAAGAAGTTAAAAATAAACTGCCTCGGCTCCTTTGCAGCAGGCTTTCTTGCTAATTATTTTTTGTTCAGCAAAGATAAGAGCTTGCTTTGGGGAGTAGTAGATGGGCAGTGGGGTTAGAGGGGTCTATCCTCTATAATTTGGACAAAGTTTTTGTTAAGCTCAATTCTTCACACACTTTGAAACCATGTCATTGTTTCAACAAAAATACATTCATTTAGGACATTGTTAAGCCAGCCTATACTTCTCACCCATGTCCCCTGCAGAGTAAATAAGTTTAAATGTATTTGTGTGTATGTGTGTGTGTGTGTATATACACATATTTTTTTAATTGGTGATATCGGGGGGAAATAGTCCAAAACGTGGAAATGGGCGAGTTTACTGGGTCTTTCCAGTGGGGTGCTGGGTGTTATAACCCTTCTGGGGATTGTCTAATTTTATAGGGTTGTGCACATTTGATGGACTTTTTATTTTTTTTTTTTTTAAAGATTTTATTTATTTATTTGACAGAGAGAGAGACAGCGAGAGAGGGAACACAAGCAGGGGGAGCGGGAGAGGGAGAAGCAGGCTTCCCGCAGAGCAGGGAGCCTGATGTGGGGCTCAATCCCAGGACCCTGGGATCATGACCTGAGCCAAAGGCAGACACTTAACTACTGAGCCACCCAGGCACCCCGTGATGGACTTTTTATTAACGAAGCTATTTTACAACTCTGTAGGTAGGGGTAGAAGATCACTTGCAGAAAATTGAGAGTGCAAAAGATTCTTGTCCATGGCAATGCAAATTAATTTTTCCAGTAGAGGTAGAAGTGATTCTTCCCATGTGAAAATAAGATAAATCTAATAGTAAGATTTTGTCTTATATGATGTCAGCCGGTTTCGCATTTAGCAAATTCATCTTATCACACCTAACAGATAAATATATGTGTATGTATAGTATATTCTTCAAATTTTCCTTGGAACCTTGATATCTTACTAGTACTCCTTTGAAGTCAACAGCTTGCTGAGTCCCTCATGAATTAAATTAGTTGAATAAAATCTTAGGTTTTCTTTTTATATTTGCATGAATCACATTTTTAATATTTTGAAAATTTTTATATTAGCATAATCCATGTGACTCATATTCTACATTAGATTTTGTGACTCTCATCAATTCTTTTTATTGGCTCATTTTGTTGCTTTCAATTTTTTTTTTTTTTTTGGTAAAAAGAATTACTTCTTACCCAACGATGAGTTCATGGAATGAAAGAATTAAAAATTATCTCCTGGTCGGTATGTGTCACTAGAATTAAAACAGAATATTAAACCAGTGTTAAATTTGCAGCAGTGGAATTATTGCTGAGAAAACCTTTAGCTTAAGAAAAATGTTCCTCTTGGGGCGCCTGGGTGGCTCAGTCGTTTAGCGTCTGCCTTCGGCTCAGGTCATGGTCCCGGGGTCCTGGGATTGAGCCCCGCATCGGGCTCCCTGCTCGGCAAGGAGTCTGCTTCTCCCCCTCCTGCTCCCCTTGCTTGTGTTCCCTCTCTCGCTGTCTCTCTCTCTGTCAAATAAATAAATAAATAAAATCTTAAAAAAATTAAAAAGAAAAATGTTCTTCTTTTAAGAGAGCATGGCCAATACACCAACATCTTCTTAAAGAGAATTTAGAGGGGCGCCTGGGTGGCTCAGGTCATGATCTCAGGGTCCTGGGATCGAGCCCCGCATTAGGGCTCCTTGCTCAGCGGGAAGCCTGCTTCTCCCTCTCCCACTCCCCCTGCTTCTGTTCCCTCTCTCGCTGTGTCTCTCTCTGTCAAATAAATAAAATCTTAAAAATTAAAAAAAAAAAGAATTTAGAGAGCTCTCTTTGTCCATATCTAGATTTCAGTGACTTCATCAAAAACTTTTGACTTTTAGTTTCAAGATGGCCTTGTAACCCCTGAAAGTTCTCTCTTTCAGTAAAGTGACCAAAGATAAACACACACACACACACACACACAATTAAATATGCAACAGTGCTTTCAAACAAGAAAGGATGACATCAGTGAACCAGATAGCTTTGAGGACTGTATTAGGTTACATTTGCCACGTGTCCTCCACAAAACCGTCCACCAAAAGAGGAAGTAGAGCGAAGAAAAAAAAAAAAAACATGCAATTTAAATTTTTTTAAATTATATGTACACTTCAAATTATTATTTGTACATATTAATATAATGTGCAGATTTTATAATGTTTTAAAATTTAATTCAGAACCACTATGTAAGAATTGTTGAAAAAAATGCAAAATATACTTCTTCAAAGCATTTTATTTTGCTCATCTGTGTACATCTTGTTCATTACCAGCAGCTCCTTCTTCAGGCTTCAGGCTATCCAAATACCAGTTTCCTGGCTCTCCAAAAAAACCCTGTAAATTTCCACACTTAAAAAAAAAAATTATTTTAGGGGGCACCTGGGTGGCTCAGTCAGTTAAGCGTCCAACTCCTGATTT